AAAAAAAATTAAAGGACAAAGACTAGGTACAGTGGTGTGCCTCTTAATTTCAGACACCAGGAAAGCTGAGCCTGGAGGATTGTGAGCTCAGGGTCAACCTGGATTAACAGTTCCTGTTTGAAAAAAAGATTAGAAGTGGGGTGGAGTAAAACCCAACTATTTTCCCAGGGGGAGGAGCACTAAATTAAAATTCCTCTTGATGAAAGACTACAGAAGGAAAATTTTAGAAATTACAAAGCCGAGAAGCAGTGGAAAACGGAAGGGTTTTTTTGTTAGGTTTTTTTTGGGGGGAAGGTGTTTTCATGAAGACTTAGAATGGTGCTTTTGGCCTAGTACAGAGTACTTAGGGAACACACATTAACCTGGTTCATAATCCACATCCTGGTCACCAGTGAGTCCCTATCCTGGGCCTTCTGAGTTATAACTCAGAAGATTGATAACAGTGATAGCCTCATAGCTATGAGTTGAAAGAAAATGAACTATCTGAGAGAAAATAAAGCCCCCCAGAAGTCTTAAGCAACAGGAATGGAATTAACGATATGGGCAAAAAGAAATGATTTGGGGGACACAAGCCCCAGAAATGAAAATAACTTGAGTTTACTTGGAGGGAAAGGTTGGAAGTAGGTGCTTAGACATCCTTGATTAATCTTAAGAAAAGTCATTTCAAGCTTAGAAAAGAATGTGCCAGCGGTTTGCAACGAATAAACGAACGGCCCAAGCCAAGATCCAGGGTAAAGCTCCCTGGGGAGGAGGTGGCAGGTTTTACAGGTTGTGGGGAGAATAGACACCCCCCCCCCAGTAGCAGAATTCTAGCCACCGTTCTTCAGGACATGGTTCTTAAGGTTTACTTTTATTTCTGGTTTTAACATAGCCATAGTCACTCCACACTAGTAACTTCTGCTCTGCTGCTTTTTACTTGGCAAGACCAACTTAAATGTGTTTTAATACGTAGGCCCCGCTTACCTGCGAGTTTCTCTAGTCTTGCTCCAAAAAATACCCATTCAGAAGTTGCATGTTACAGAAGTAGACCTTGCAAGTGGGCATAGCAGAGGTTTATTCAGACCCCTACAGCAAGCCACTGCCATCCTTAATTTTCTGATTAGAGGTTACTGACTTGGGAAAGGGCAAAGGGGATCACTGGCAGTCATCGTGCAGGTACTGACCTGGCCAGTTGCCATGGAGAATGTGGGTCAGATCTGTCACCCTCCTGCGGTCTAATGTGTATAATCATTCTCCTGGGGTCTATGTATATCTTCATCCCTGGCCACGAACAGATTAACCTGATAAAAGCACGTGGGCCACTCATAACGAAGGTTTGAGTTGTTTGCCAGGTAGAATTGTGCTAATTCATGAAATAACAGCAGGGATTAAAATATAGACTTGCTTTTAGCATGCCAGGTTCTGGTGGCTCATACCTTTTATCCTACCTAGGTACTTGGGAGGCTAAGATCAAGAGAACTGCATATCGAGGTCAGCTGGGGCAAATAGTTCAGGAGACCCCACACACACATATCTCCAAAATAACCAGAGCAAAATGACTGGCAGGGTGACTCAAGAGATAGAGCCATGTGGCACTAGCAAGTGAAAGCCCTGAGTTCTAAACTCAGTCCCACCAAAAATAAATGCAAGTTTTCTCTTAACATTGTTCACACCATTTAAACATTACAAATTTAATCAAAGGGAAGCCAGATGTAGTGCACACCAGTAATCCCAGCACTGCAGAAGCAGAGAGATTGAAAGTTCCAGGCCAGTCTGGGCTACAAATAAGACCCTGTCTCAAAACAAATACAATTAGAGATAAATCATAATCTATCATTATTTAAATTTTTCTACTTTTTAAATCTTCCCTTAGTCATTTAGGTTTAACATTTCTTCTTGGGGCTTTTAGAGCTTTCCTGTTCCTTATTACTCTGTACTCCCTCAACGTTTTATAACAGCTCAGAATTCAGTTCATTAGATTATTTTTTAAACAACAGTTTATATGCTTTATTGAAAGTTGACAAGTACAGAAGTTTACTACAATGACATCTTACAACTGTGTAAAGAGCATGCACAGAAACATACACATATACCTAATAGATTACATAGTCCCCACTGGGAAATCCATTCATTATCTAGAACTGATCATTATTCCAAATACTCAGTGAGCCTAATCAGAAAACTTCAGTGAGCAGGGATTTACTTCAGGATACCCAGCAACTAGATTTCAGATTACACAAAGTGACTAATTGTGCCAAGTTCTTAAAATTTCTTCAGGTGTGATTTTTTTTTTTGTCATGTAGTTTTTATATTGATCTTCCTATAAAAGGCAATCGACACCTCTTCAGACACCCAAGGAAATATCACAATTTCAATCTGTACAACCTAAATACTAGTTACAGTCTTCTATTGTACAAAATAGTTACACTACATGCACAAATATACAGTAAGCAAGACAACCGCCATAGTAAGATAAACTAAGTTGGAGCTACCTGTCACCATTTTGTCACTTACAGTTTTGTGTCCTCTGCTGTTGCAGGAAGAAGGCGCAGTGCTGTTATTTTTTATGGACTTTGTAACAGTCATCAGTTTGTACAATGACTGTCTCCTGACATTCTCATCTGGTCTCTGGCCTCTCACATTCCTCATGTGGGAAAAAGAGGAGAGTGCAAAGTCCAGGAGGAGCCCCACACTTCCTCGCCCCTCGTAACACACTGTGCAAGCAGGAGAGAGAACTTTTGGAAGAGGGGTGGGCAGTGGGAAGGGATGGAAAGGCACACAGCTCCTCCACATCAATTAAAACATTCCTCACAATGTGCCAAGCTGCACAGGGCACAGCCTTCTGAGTAGCTAGGATTACAGGTGTGAACCACTGCTGTCCAGCCTCTGATTAACCTCTAATCCACCAACTAGAAAGTTTCTTCAATCCAAAAGCATGAGTGTTTAATACTAAAAAAGGGGATAATGGCATGTGTCAGTCTCATGTCTCTTTTGTAGTGAGCAATGAAATGGGTGACTGGAGGTAGATCCTCCCTAGCACAGTTACATGTGTTCTTCAGGACTCTGCCAGGATCCCAAACTCCTGCCCTTCCCAGATGTGTTTCTTCTTGACCCCAGTGTAGGGGGAGGAGTGTGTTCTGTTCCTCTGACTGCAGTGTGCATTTGCAGTGCCACACATTCATTCTTAATCCTCATTGACTCTTGCTCTAGTTTTTTCAAATAGCTGTCTGGAAATATAATTTACATACCATAAAGTTAATTCTTCTCAAGTGTGTAATTCAGTGGTTTTGATACGTTCACAAGTTGTGTAACAATCACCACCATCTTGTTCCAGAACATTTTTATCACCCTAAAAAGAAACCGCATATACACTAGCCATCACCCTCCATTCCCTTTAATTCCTCCATCTTTTGACAACCACTAATCTAGTTTATGTTGCTATGGATTTGTCTATTCTTGATACTTCATATAACTGTAGCTATGAAACTGGAGTTTAAGGCAAAAAACACTGGCCCCAGGGGTCCTAAATGGACTAGGTTTAGCCACCCTAGTACCAATTAAAGAGAAGAGCATGGCTTAAGTGGTAGAGTGCCTAGCAAATGTAAGTCTCTTAGTTCAAACCCCAGTACAACCAAAAAAAAAAAAAAAATCCAAAACGGATGAGCACTGGTGAATGGTGAAGAAGAGATTTAATCAAACACAGCCTTATCAGGAAGACAAAAAGGGATTCAGTGACCACAAGGTTGTCTTCAAGGGGCTTATAGGAATTTTGAAGTTTTTACAAAAATGGTATCAAAGGAGAGGTTTGAATTATGCATAGGTGATCACACTGGTGGTTTGGGTTCTGGAGAAGTTGCTACTCTTACCACCTGAGGGAAGTAATACGGTTCCCCTTGAGTTGATTGTTAGGACCCCAGGGTAACTGTCCTCACGGGGAGAGTGTTCTGTCCTGTAAGGCTTGACTGTTCCCCAGGGAGTAGTTTTAGTTCCTTGTCATGAAGATGTTATAATCAATACTGTTCTTTCTGGAATACTAGGTGACTGCAGAGGAGAGAGGGGCTCAGAAAAAAAGGTAAAGGTGGCAGAAGAACAAAATGGAATTAACTAGACCAGAGCCCAGTGTCCTCTTTCATTTATACAGTGTGTAGTCTTTTGTGTCTGGCTTCTTTCACTTGGGACATTTTTTTCAAGGTTCATTTGATACTGTTTCATGTACTAGTACTTAATTCCTTTTTATTGCCAAATCTTTCACTATGGGTAGACCACAATTTGTTTATATAGATGGCCCTGACTTCATGGTGGTTTGACTTAACAATTTTTTTGACTGTAATGGTACAAAGACAATATGCAATTAATAGAACTGTAATATCACATTTGGTAGGTTAGGTGTTCTAAATGCATTTTTTACTTCTTATTTATAATGGGTTTATCAAGGTATAACCAAATCATAAGTCCAGGAGCATGTGTACATTAGTCATTCAATAGACATTTGGGTTATCTTCACATTTTAGCCATTACAAATAATGCTGCAAAGGACATCCTTATAAAAGTTTTTGTCAATATAGGTTTTAATTCTCTTGACTACATACATGTGGGGAGGAAGGTTCCTGGGTCATATGATGGCTATATGTTTAACTTTTTGAGGAGCTGCCAGACTGTTTTACAAAATGGTACAGCATTCTATATTCTTACCAGTAATACATGAGCATTCCAGTTTTGAAACACCCTCACTCTTTACTATCTGTCTTTCCCTTTTTTCTCTTCTCGTTCATTATCTCTTCCTTTTTTTTTCTTTTATTCAGTTCTAGAGAATATACCCAGGGCCTTCTGCATGCTAGGAGAGTGTGCTTCCAATAGGCTAAACCCCCAGCCACATCCTCCACCACTGATAGTAGCAATCTTAGTGAGTGTGAAGTAGTAATTCATTGTGATTTTGGTTTGCTTTTTCTGGTGGGTAGTGATCTTCAGTACCTTTTCATGTGATTCTAGGTCTTTTGTCTTGCTCTACTTTTGACTTACAGACTGTTCTAGGGCTACACTGGACACTAACTTGCATCCTCTTTCTATTGAGAATCCTCTAACGAAGATCAAGGTTGTTGAAGTCCTTACACTGAACCAGGAGGTGGCTGGTCTCCGAAATGCCCAAATCCAGGCCCTCTATGCTAATAATGTGGCCCTTACCCCAGACATACATGATGAGCCAGCCCAACAGCTGGCCAAGCATCCACCTGATACTGAAGCTGCTCACCAGAGGTTCCGGCATTTTCAGTATAGGGAGTTAATTGGTCCCCAAGAGGCTGTGGCCCAGCTTCGGGAGTTGTGTCACCAGTGGCTGCAGCCCGAAGTGCACTCCAAGGAGCAGATCATGGAGTTGCTGGTGCTAGAACAGTTCCTGGGTGTATTACCCAAGAAGCTCCGGTTGTGGGTGGAGTCGCAGCACCCAGAGGACTGCCATGCAGCAGTGGCCCTTGTGGAGGATGTGACATCAGTGTCCAAGGAGGATGGTGAGTACTGTGGAAGGGTGAGAGGCAGCTTTGTGAGGGCTTCTTGGAGGACTAAGGTGACTGAACTCTAGACTTCCTTGCAGGGCAGGGAAGGGTGGTTTCCACTCCAGGCAGACCAAGAACCTATGTGCCCTCCATGTGTTACCAAGCCATAGCTGCTGTAAATCTATGGTGGGGCTAGATTTTGTGTGTGTGTATGTGGTACTGGGGTTTGAACTCAGGGCCTCACACTTGCTAGGCAGGCAATCTACCACTTGAGCCACTACGTCAGCTCTTTTTTCTGTGTTGGGTATTTTCAAGATAGGGTCTTGCCAAGTATTTACCTGGGCTGGCCTCAAACCAAAATCCTCCTGATCTCTGCCTTCTGAGTAGCTAGGATTACAGGCATGAGCCACCAGTCCCTGGTTTAGCCCTGCATTCTTGAACAAACCTTTCTCAGTCTTCTGCAGCTTGCAGATACCTTGCTTTTCTTACCCCGTTGGGATCCTTAACATACACAGTAGGCTTGCTGAGTCTGTAGTCCTGTAGGAAGATAAGGATGTAACAAATGTATGCTTGTGACAGGTGGTCTGGGGTGCTGATGGGATTAACAAAGGCTGTTTCTGTACCTGACACCTGATGTGAATTTGAACTTGGCCAGGTGAAGAAAGATTTCAAGAAGGATGTGCCAAGCAGAAGGAATATGGAGTATGGTCCATGAGAGTCCAGCTGGCACTGGAGGTAGTGAGGTAGGCAGTAGCACCAGGTGTCCATTTCAGATACATATCAGTGCTGTGTTGAGAGGGTAATTAATTGCCCCAATGCTGTCCATGTCCAGTCCCTGGAGTCTGAAGAGAAGCTAGGCCCTGAAACGGGGTAGCAGGACAGAAGGTTTCAGCAGTCAAGGACATCAGTGCCTATGGCCCATGTCAGGTGACACTGGGCCCATCCAGGTATAGGGATCCATCCTGCTGTGAGCAGGAGCCAGAGAAAAGGAGAGAAGACAACAGAGGCCACAGTGGAACGCAGGTGTGCACAAACCATGGACTGCAGAGACAGGCTGTCTTCTCTGCCCGGAGCCACTACCCCACTAGTGCCCTCATCTGTTGTCATCTCTAGCATATCCTGCCTGCTCTTTGGCCACTGCTCAACAGGAAAAGGAAAAGGAGGACTCTGCCATCTTGCCAGTTGTGGTGCTGCCCGAGGTAAGTAAGGACTTTAAACCCTACATCCCCTGCACATTCTACCCTTAAGGTGTTCCTCTGTGCTGGATCTTGCTGAGGCCTCCCACTGGCTGGGCCATTCCCACTTCTGAATTCTTGAGACTAAGCTGGACTCTGAAGCAACCTGAGTATAAAGGGCAGCCCTGCCTCTGGCCACTGTGGCACATTGGAGGCCAAGGCAGCACCATGACCTGGGAGTGAACTAGCCATAAGGTTACTAAAGGAGGGGATGAAGGACTGGCAGAGACTTAAGAGGCAGAGCAACCACAGGCAGCCTGTTGGGACCACAGCCTGGTTAGAAGAAGAGAGCCCTCATCCTTCAGAACACATATTTGGAGGATTATGAGTAAAGCCAATCAGTCTTAGATTTGTTTCAGAACAAGTTGGGGCATGAATGAAATAGGACTGGCCCAGTTTTGCCAACCATTAGGGTGATGTTGTGTATTTGGCATTAGTTAGTGCTGTTTGCACTGTAAAGTGATATATACTGGCTCAAGCATATGAGTGAAACTATTGGCTCTCATGTTATGAGTAGTCTGGGCTAGGCTTCAGTCAAGGCTGCATCCAGGTGCTCTCTGGTGATCTGAAGAATTTGTGACTAACCATGGCCTCATAGCTCTACTTTCTCCTATTCCTTCTGTGATTGGCTTTGTTCCATCTGGGTAAAATGTCTCCCAGATTCAGTGGGGGTAGTCATATTTCCCTTGGATTCCTACTTAGCTCTCCAGCAAAGACTGGTCATGACACAGTCTGGGTGAATGCTCTACCCCGGCTCAGACCTGTCCACCAAAAACAGGGCCTAGTCTTCATGTGGAGCGGGACTTTCCCAAGAGAAACATCGCATGGATGTTAGGATGTTGTCAATACAGCACATGCTAGATACAGGTGTGGGTATTGTTGAGTAGTTTGTATATTGTACTTGTCTAAGCCAGTGGCTCTGCCTCCTTGCTCAGGCTCTACGGTGAACCTCTTACAGACTCAGAGTCAGTGTTTCTGAGCAAAGCAGGAGTCCCTGACACAGCAAGTTGTGCTGTAGCATACCAGCAGCCTTTCTTCTGTCCCCATTGGCAAGTCACACATACACACACACACGTGTAACATTACAGGAGCCAGTGACCTTCCTGGACGTGGCTGTGGACTTCAGCCAAGAGGAGTGGGGGCTTTTGGGCCCAACACAGAGGACTGAGTACCGTGATGTGATGCTGGAGACCTTAGGGAACCTGGTCTCTGTGGGTAAGGTTCTTGGGGATGCTACAGAGCCCCATGTCAGGTGTTCACCTTCTTTGAACCCAATGCCAGGACTGACCATACATTCAGGGTCCCTTGCTCTATCTAGGACCATTAACTGGAACCGTGGACCTGCACTAGAACTATAGAGCTTTGGATGAACGGGCAGCTTTGGGTCCAATTTGCCTGAAGGAAATGAGGGAATGGGAGAAAAGGATCTCAGAGAGAGACTTTTGAGAATGCTACCTGCCCTCATCCATCTCTTGGTCACCAAATTGGTTGTTCCCTTCTTTGCTGCCTCACAGCTTTTCACAGTCACTCCTCAGTTTGCATGGCTGTATTGGGGGTGGGTGGAAGTCCTCTAGTTCTTGAATACTTAATTATGTACACTATTGAACACATCCTGGTAATTTGTGCAGGATCCAGACCTTTTGGTTTCTTTCAGGGTGGGAGACAACACTGGAAAGTAAAGAGTTACCTCCAGGTTCTGCCATTACTTCAGAAGAATCAGTTTGTGACCTAAAAATGAAAGAATTCTCAAGAAATGGTACCCATTTCTCTACTTCAGAAGGTGTTCTGCCAGGTGGGGTTCAAGAAGTACTAGACACAGCATTGAAGCAAGCAGAGCTCACTCAGGAAAAAGACCACTCTCAGAAGCAGCTGTCTGAAAGCCCCAAATCACAGGCAAACAGTGGTCTCCACATGAGCCAGGATTCACTCCAGGAAATTCCTTTTAGAAAGTGCTTGCGCAAACATAGCTCACAGATTAAAAATGTGGTGCATGGTTCACAAGTAAAAATTCACCAGAAGAGCTGTGAAAGAAGAAAACCCAGGGAAAGCAGCAATTGTATGACACAGGACACACATGTGAAAATTCACCAGAAGAACTGTGGAGGGGGAAAAGCCAGAGAAAGCAGCAATCGCATGACTCAGGGTTCACATGTGAAAACTCACCAGAAGGGCTGTGATGTGGGGAAAGCCAGAGAAAGCAGCAGTTGTGTGACTCAGGGTTCACAAGTGAAAATTCAGAAGAAGTGGTTTGATGTGGGGAAAGCCAAGGAAAGCAGTGGTTGTAGGAAAACTGCTGGCCAGCGAGCTCAGCAGGTTACTTTTATAAAAATTCACAAGGGAAGCCAAGTTTGCAGATGCAGTGAATGTGGTAAAATGTTCCGAAACCCAAGATACTTTTCTGTCCATAAAAAGATACACACAGGAGAGAGGCCCTATGTGTGTCAGGCTTGTGGTAAAGGGTTTGTGCAGAGCTCATCCCTCACCCAGCATCAGAGAGTTCATAGTGGAGAGAGACCATTTGAGTGTCAGGAGTGTGGGAGGACCTTCAATGACCGCTCAGCCATTTCACAGCACCTGAGGACTCACACAGGAGCTAAGCCCTACCACTGCCAGAATTGCGGGAAAGCCTTCCGCCAGAGCTCCCACCTCATCAGGCACCAGAGAACTCACACTGGAGAGCGTCCCTACGTGTGCAGCAAATGCGGAAAAGCCTTTACCCAGAGCTCACACCTTATTGGGCACCAGAAAACACATGGTGGAACCAAGTGTAGGAAGAAGCAACCCATCTTGTAGTACTTAAGCCTGTGGAAGCATTGCTTTTTTAGGTACTTTGGGTTTTGGGGTTGGTTTGGGGTTTTATTTTTGAGAGAGATGAACTCTCCCAAACTCATGATTCTCCTGCCTCAGCCTCCTGGATGGCTAGGATTATAGGCATGTACCACCATGCATGTGTGTAGCATTGCCTGTTCAACCTCATGATGTACCCTGCACAGAAACTGAGTGTGACTGGAATGCTTGGGTGAGGACATTCCTAAAACCAAAGGACATCCCAGGAAAGCCCAGCACATAGTGAATAGGAAAACTGTCAGGGAATTGTTAATGAATGTATTAGCTTACTAATTTCTTTCATTTTTTTGGCCATTAAAAGTAATCTGAAGATGATCATAAAAGCCAATTACCAAATAATCTGCACACTGGTAATTATATCCAAGGTAAAGTATTTATGTATATGAACAAGGACTAAACAATAATGTGGATAAATAAACTATGTATTCCTTTGTAAAATTTGTGATTCCTGCCTATTTAATTAAACTAATTAAATATCTTTAATGAGTTTATATTTTAAATGAGCAACATTAAAACAAAAGTTGTCAGAGCTAGTTGATCTATGCAGTGATTAGCACCTTGGGCTCTAGGTTCAAGGTGAGTTGGACAAGTGAGTCATTCTCCTTAAGGCAGCATCATAGTAGGCTTGGGTGTGGGGACAGGAAACCTCAAAGAATCACTGAAAGCTTTGAGGGCTGGAAATCCCCAATAAGCACAAGGCCTCCTGGGAGTATTCACTTACATTATGTTTCCACTTTTCCCAGGGGACTCCCCCAAAGGAGGGAACTTCCCCAGCCAATTCCCCACTAGGGAGTTAAGCAACAAGACACTGGCACACCAGTACCTATATTTGATGCCCACTTCCACACAAGAGGACAAAAAAAAACCTTCCTCCTTGTTACAGAGCTTGTAGCACACAAGCCACTCTATCCCTCACTCCAGAGTTCCACCTTTGCTCTTCTGAGTTCTGTATGACATTTTTAAATGCCAGTGTAGATCAGGGATAAAGCATGCACTTAGCATATACAGTGCCTTGGGTTCCATTTGCAGCACCAAAAAGTAAATAAGTAGACTTCTAAAATTCTAGAGCAAAAAGATTTAGACTCAACAGATAATTGACTTCATGGCCTCTTCAGAGCTCTTGAGGTGGAGCCTACAAGCAGGAGAAATTGTGCCTTCTGTGTTGAAAGCTTCACTGCCTTCTCCGAAGAAAACATCCCTTGGATGCTGAGTCAGAATAGATGCTGTGAAGTCAAGTGCCTAGAAAATGATGAGGACACTGGCATCTCTTGTCTTTCACACACCAGACATAGGACTGTGGTGCCTACAAGGCATTTATCATTTCAACAACCTGATAGGATGTGTGTTAGCTCCTTTGGGGTGAGGCTTGAGGAACTTGCCCAGTGGTGTGTTAAACAGTAAATAACTCCACTTATGTTTTCTCAGGAATGAACCAAGGGGTGGGACTTCGTCAGAACTCGGGAATTTTGCACTAGGTCCCAAGTAATAAGATTGAGACAATCTAGATTAGAAGATACAAAGCCAGTTTGAGAGACTTTTTGTCATGTCTTTAGAGGTAGAAAAGTGGAAGATAAGTCCTAGGTTTTTACATTTGAAGAGGGATAAGTGGGGGGGGGGGGAGTAGGCTGGTCCAAAATGAAAACTTGTGCTTTCCTTAAATAGTTAATACGAAACATGAACATAAAGTTTATGTGTGAATTTTTGTTGGTGGTAATAGCATTTAAACTTGGGGCCTTGTGCTTGGTAGGCAAGCACTCCACCATTTGAACCATTCCCCCAGCCTTTTCTGCTTTCAGTAGTTTTTGAGTAGGGTCTCACATTTATACCCAGGCTGGCCTGATCCGCACTACTCCTGTTTATGATTCCTGCATAGCTGGGGTGACAGGTGTGTGCCACCATGCCCAGCTTTTATCGGTCAAGATAGAGTCTTGTGAACTTTTTTGCCTATGCTGGCTTCAAGCAATGATCCTCCCAATCTCCACCTCCTGAGTAGTTAAGATTACAGCTGTGTGCCATGAGGCCCCAACTGAAATTTTCTTTTTTGGGGGGGAGGGTGTTGAAATCAGACCTTACACCTTAAGCCACTCCACCAGCCCTTTTTCTGTGATTTTTTTTTTCGAGATACAGTCTCACGAACTATTTGCCTGGGCCAGCTTTGAACTGTGATCCTCCTGATCTGTCTCCTGAGTAGCTAGGATTGCAGGAATTAGCTACCAATGCCCAGCTGAAATTTTCTTAATATGCTAAATTTGAGTATATTCTTGGGAAAGAACTAAATAGAGTCATCCACAAACGGAAGCATTGATTTGATTTCAGGATGGGAGTCTAAATTATCTTTTGATTGAATTTTTCTGGTTCAGATTTTTCACAATCCAGATAATTCATACTATAAGATATCTATATACCTTAATAATCAGAAGAAAATTCCTACAAAAGGAGAAACCTGACTGTGATAAATGTGGGCGTCTGTAACCATATTATATCCTTAAATAGCAGGAGATCCTTATTGAGAAGAATGTATATGATTGTAATAAATGTGAGTGGGAACACTCCATTACAAAGCTATTGCCTTTCTCAAAAGGGGAGAACTCATACTGGAGAGAAACCCTATGGATATGGTTAATCCTTTAGATAGAATCTCCGTATGGTTGCACACCCCAGAACTTCTGCCTGAGAGAAGCTGTATTAATGTGGTCAATGTGGGAGATCTTACAACTTGTTAGAGATTACAGAACTTGTACTAAAGAGACACTTCATGAACATCATGGAGGTGGAAGAGTTATAGGCAGGAAGTCAACTAGTTAGGCATCACTAAACTCACAGTGAAGAAAAGCTGTTCCATCGTACATATGCAAAATCATTCAGTCACATCGTTGACTTAAATGTGCATCAAAGAGAACTGAGAGAAGCCTTATGAGTGTTATTGGTATAAGAAATCCTTCTATCAAGGCTCTGGCCTTATTTCACAACAGAGAAATCACCCTAGAGTTTGATGACTGTAATCAATCAGTACAGGAAATGCTTCAGTTGGAGTTCTTGCTTTTTTGATCATCAGAGAATTCATACTGCAGAGAAACAGCATAAGTGTTCTGAATGTGGTATCATGGAGCACTTTACTTAGGCACCAGAGAAATCACTGGGAGAAACCTCATCAGTATCTCCAGGAAGACTTTTTCCTTCAGCCAGAATTCTCACCTTTGAACATCAAAGAAATTATTATTACTTTATTGGAGAGAAGCCCAATAAAGCCCATCTGGGAAATCTTTCTCACAGAGTTCATGTATCAAAATATTCATATGGGTAAAAAAACACATAAATGTAATAAAGGTGAGAAGTCCTTCAGCAGACCATCTGACCTACAGATTGCCCCAAGAACATAAACTATACATATAATCGGGGTCAAAAGACTTTCAAGAAGCACTTGGCCCCTGTTGGGCACCAGAGAACTCACTCTTGAAAAACTGTTTAGTCACATTTTTAACATAATGATACAGGGTCATTGTTTGCTTTTGTGACACAGTCCTACAAAAGATGACCAGTAATGATGTTGGGAGGACATTGGAACATCAGAATGTGAGGAATTCAGAAAGTAACTTTTGCTCATAGAACAAGAGCATTGAGATCTAGGCAGCTGGCAAGTCTCCTCGCCTCTGCAAAATGATTTCCTGACACAACACAGCAGCTGTGTCTCTGTAGCTCCAGTGTCAGCAGGTCTAAAAACTGTGAGGAATTCAGTTCGTAATAACGAGAAGGAAGAGCAGGCCTGAGAGACCCACAAAATGCAAGGCAAAAGGTTTGGTGAGCAGTGCCCTACAAAGAGCAGCCCAACAGGCAAATGTCATGAAGGCCCTGTTTTTGTAGGCAGCTGGGGACACACCCAAAGTAGGGTCCCACATGAGTCAAAGGAGAGCTGGTCAACAGTGTCCCATCTGGTAATGGGTTGGGTTATGTGAAAGTCATCATATCAAAATGGAGTAACAACATGAATTTTTTAAAACGAAATAGCTGTGTCAACCCTAACAAAATAAATAACTCAGCTTGTGTGCCACCTGACAGAATCCATCATTTCCCTTACCATGCTTTCCTCTTACTCTTTCTTTCCTTCACTGTTTTCAATAAAGTTTTGCTTTAAAAAAAGAAAAAAGTAAATCCAGGAGGTAATTAAGAGAGGGTTTGCAGGCATTGTTGCCTGGTAACAGTGATCATAAATGAGTCTGCTAGGCCACAGCCTTGCACAAAGGCCACTTCAGCCTTACATAAAAAATTTTCTGTCCTGTTATCTCAAACTTTGCAGGAGGCTGAGATTGGGAGGCTCGTTGTTCCAGGCCAGCCTGGGTTGCAGTGGGGGATGGAGGTGTGCATAAATGTCCATGTGACCCCATCTCAATGGAAAAAAAGCTGGATGTGGTTACAAGTGCCTGTCCTCCCAGCAATGACTGGAAGCTTAAAATAGGAGGGTCCTGATCCAGGCCCTTCTGGGCAAAAAACAAGACCCTATGCCCAAAATAAGAGCAAAAAAAGGTCTGGAGGCATGGTTCAATTATAGAGCACCTGCCTAGCAAAGTGTAAAGTGCCCCCCAAACTACCAAAAACTGTAAAGACGTCTGTCCAACAACTGTCTCTTCAATCTCAGCCACTACTCTTTGTAGTCTTTGTGGCCAATGCTTGTTTGAAAATATCTTCTGCAATCCTTACTTTTGTTTGTCTCTAAACTTTCCCATTGTCTCAACCTCTGAATGTGATCATCGTTTACTAGCAGCTGTAAAAACAAGCAGAGATAAAACTCCAAATGCTGCTAAGGAATGATGATTACCAGTCACATGGCTAAGTGAGAGCAAAGTGCATTACAGCACTGTCTATGACATGCTAACTTCTACCTCAGAAAAGGGAAAGGGTGGCATATACATGCATAATATACTTGCTTACATATTCTTAAGTTGTACTTCTAATATAAGGATAATCTCACATTTTTATAAATAGTTAATAAGAGAAAGTGTGGATAAAAAGGAGTAGCAGGCATTGAAACATAAAAGTGATTTACGAAATTACAAAACAAGGTTGTGCTTTTACCTGATCTCTAAAAATTTAAAGTGAAATGGTGAAAGACAAACCACACGAATAATGTTTCCAGTAACTTTAAGTAAAACTAGTAATTTCGCTGTAGCGCTATATTGCTAAGACCCGAATATATTCTAAGGACAAAAACAACTGCACAGAAATCTTGAACTGTCACTAATGATGTTGGGAGGACCTTGGAATATGTATATAAAGGAACCAACTAAATCAGCTGTTTTAATTGCGAGCCAGGATTTTCAGCATTAAATGAAAAATCAAGGGTTCAAGGCACTGCTCAAGCGGTAGAACAAGCACAAAACCCTAAGTTCAAACCCCAGTACCCCCTCCCCAAAAAAAGATTGAAATGT